GTTTAATGGTCTGTTTGACAATCTCTCTCTCCAACGTCGCCTGATTATTATGATAAAACACAATTTGTGTATAATTTAAGTGCCAGGAACGACTCAAACAAGATCAATGACGTAATCCACTTATTCAGTTGTGTATATTTCGGGGAATAGCCAGCCGTGCAGCAGCTTTCCACTGATTATGCATGCAAACATTGACCAATTCTCTGGAGGCTTCGCCATTGAACAATGGTGAAAATCAGGCCGTCGACCACCCGCAACTGTCAACGTAATCTGCTGGAAAATTAAATGCAAACGCGCATTCCACGTACAGCCACACATATTGCCAGTGTCAACACTGTAGGTCCGCCTTCATAACGACGAAAAAATCCACGTAAATTTACTTTTGCATAATTCATGAACCAAATGACCGGCTGACAATTACTCGTGCCTGGGTCGCAACCACTCCCAAGCCAACAGTTTTAACCTATCAACGCATACGGTTTGGTGAAGTCCAGAGGTGGCCAAAAATTAAAGCTCCCTTGCTGGCGAAGCGGTTAAGTTGCCCGAAGGACCTGGCCGAATGTCCTTGACAGTTGCCTGCATTTGATGGCACTGGGCAGCATCCACGGCATGCAGCTGGAGCCGGAAGGCCAACCGGAGTTCACAGCTCATTTCACGGGGGCAAGGTCGAAAGTCTAGGCCGCAGCCCGACTCCATTCAGCAGACAAGTGGAGTCGTTCAATCGGTTTCCAGTCGGATTGGGTCTCCCTTCGGTTTCACTTTCACCCCGAGCACTCTGCCAATCGTGTCCTGACTGCATTATGTGGCTGCCACTGGCACAAAGGTCGCCATTGCCATCGCATCCGCCTTCGCTTTTTTTTCGTGGCACTGACATCGCTGGAAGAAAAAGCTCACCTGCTCATCTCATCTGCTTTTGGGGGGGCAAGACACGTTTGACACGTTTTTGCTGCTGTTCGTTTGCAAAACGCTCAACAAGTGCCACGATGCTGAACAGTTGAGCTCCAGCATCTACATCGTGCTGACAAGGACTAGATGCAGTCGAAAAAAAACTCTGATTGCAGGAAAACTTTTTCTTAACATAGTTTCTGTATCTTATTTAAATACATTCTTCTAGAAATCCAGACAATTGGTTGTCAAAGCGCTTTTAAAATTATAAAACTATGTCGTAGTTAAATCAAATTTTTTATGAAAACATATAATTTTAAATAAATGGATATATCCGTTATAACGAAGGATATTTTTTTAATATTTTATTTTACTTGAGAAAGCTTAAAAAGCTATACGATAAGTGGCTTAAAGGTGGCTTTTCGAATCTATAAAATATAATTGGAATTGGGAAGAGTAGTGTGTAAATATGATATGTAAATTAGAAAGTAAACAAGTAAGCAACAGGTTTTAGATAAGAAACATTACTTAATTTTAATCACCCATCTAGGTATTTAAAGGAATTCCGGATGGGCGCAGGTATTACAAAATTTTTAAGATAAGGAAAGTAATTCTACTAAGGATTTCAAGTTAATTCAATGATTTTTGTCATAATTTATTTATGATTTTAGCTGGAAGCGTTGATGATTTATGTGTTTTGGTGATTGATTAATTAGAAGAGGTAATTAAACAACGAACAACTTAGTTTAGAAACAAGATATTTATTTCGCAAGTGTACCAGAATAAAGGGCGTGTAACAGACAAGCTTTGACTTTTATGGCTCCCCTCAAAACCCCGCTCCAAGCCCCCTGACCCTACTATTCTGACACCCCATCCGAGGTCTCTGGCCACTGTCTTCCTCCGCTCGCTTCTCGGGAAAACTTTAGCAAATTGCCATTTTGGCATTTAACTGCAGCAGGAGAAAACGCGCCACCTCCCAGCCGCCAATTTTCGTACATTTGAGAGATTATTTTGTCGTGGTCCTTTCGCATTTCGCATTTAATTCCGACCCCCTGCCATTGCCACCTTCTTCTTACCGCCGACCGAAGGTCGAAATTCCGGCTGTAATTTACATGCCGCGAAAGGCACACCCTCGCGCCCCCTTATCGCAGCTTTTTACACATTTTCGTATCGTTAGGGTTCCCGGTGACTTTTTGCGGCCTCCAGTCTGCTCCCAAAGAACAAACAATACCCAAACTCAACCCCCTTCCTCGTCGCCCGACAACTTCCTGTTTCCTGCGCCGCGCAAATTTGCAAGTATATCGAGGCCCACAAACATCAACAGGCGGGCAAACAACCGAGCCAACCTTTTCTCATTTCCTTTGTAAGCCCCAGTGTAGACACCCACCCATACACTATAAACGTACATAGTATAGGCTCAACTTGTTGCTGTTACCCCTCAGCAGCCATCAGCCATCGCAAAAAGCAATTTCATGCCAATGCGATGAATTGACAGCGACGGCAGCAGCAGCAGCAGAAGGAGCAGCCAAAGGACCGCCCTCGTCTGATGCCGCCGGCGTTTGATCCTGATCCTGATAGCCCGGCACACACACACACTCACACACACACGGGCGGACAGGCATGAAGCATGTGGCATGTGGCATGTTCACAGGTGGATCTGCGGGGTGGGCAGCCGGCAGACGACCTCTATCCGCTCAATCCATTCCAGATGCCCGGCTCTTCATTACGCTTATGGGGCAGGACACTCGTCGGACGTAAATAGATCCGGTGAGCAGCACACGGGCACTCACTTCCTCTGCTGCCACCAACAGGTAACACGTTTCTTTACTATTTTAGCTAAAGATTGGCTTACAAGCACTCACACATCCTCTTCTTATTTGTACCTATTTTGCAGATTACTATAAGCCACGTTTTAAACCTCAATGAATTTACTGGAAAATATATCTCGCCGTTTGGCACATTTTTATATTTTGTACCATTTTGTGTTATGTCAGTTTTGCTAACTTTAATTTCAGAGTTCAAGGGCTTATGAGAGCATAAATAGATGGAAGCAAAAAGTTAAATTAATAGTGTTTTTGTAAATTGGATAATAATATCGATAGCCACTTAACTATCTCACTGATTAAAGCTTATTTATTTAAAGCATTTATAAATTAAAGTAAGAGAGTAACTTCATAATTTAAGTTCAAGATTCACTAAAAAGTAAATAAATCACTTTCAGCTTATAAGTTGATAAATACTCTTAATAAATCTGTTTCCATTTATTAGTTTATAATATATCTTTTAAAGTCTGCTTTTATTTAATAGTTTATAAATTATCTTTACAAATCTGTTTTATCTTACTAGTTTATAAATTAACTTTATAAATTTATAACTTATTAGATTAGAGCTCGAGTACTTAAATTGTATTATTTTTCGCACTCACAACATGTATTTAAGGGACCTAAAATTCAACACCTTTAAACCAAGTCCCAGGACTCTGGTTGAGGCAACAACGCCAAAAGGTCCTGGCCAACCTTTTTGCCCAAGCAAGGGTATGCCAAGAGTCAACATGGCCATCTCCTCAGCTGTTTGCCCAGCTCCTCGTCCCGCCGTGCAAATAATCATACTTCAAAGGCAATAAATCGTTATTTAAATTTCATTTTCCACACTGCTTAAAGTTTCATTTCGGAAATTTCAGTTTCGTCGTCGCTCCGGGAATCGCAGCCGGGAATCCTGCAGGAAAAATTATGATGGTGGGAAGGCAGGTGGAAAGTATGCTTTAAAAATTCGGCTTATTTGGTTATGAATCCCCCGAGAGTGACGGCTGCCGGCGCGAATATTTCTTCATCTGCGATGCGAGATACCTGAGAGTTTGTATGGTTGTGCGTCTGAGTGGCCTGTTTTTTTTAGATTCCTCGGTACTAGACACACACACACACACACACACATAATCAAGTGTACAGATGGCCAACAGCTTTTGGCCCTATAAAATTGTGTGTGCCTTGGCATCCTTTATGATCCCTTTTTTTCGGCTAGCTCTTAAGGTAATCCGTTTGGAGAGGTAAAAGGAAGATACCAAGTGTCGTTATCCCATATGCGATATAATCGATGAGAAATACGAGATGGCATCGCTGCCCAAAATCGGATGACAATAGCTAGATTAAATACAAATACAGGTTTATATAACATCTAAAAGAACGCATAATTCCCACCACTGCCCCATATAATTAACTTAATATCCAATCCACCTTAATTGTGTGCCTGGCATTGAGCTCCTCGCAATATCCCAGCTTAAGCGGGATAAATGCTTAAGCTTTTAATCGATTTTTGTCGACTCTCCAGCGACTCGATTATGATTGCGACTCTGATTGGGGGTCATGGGCCATCCTTGCTTCCCTCAATGACTTCCGCGCCCCAATGCCGGCGTTGCTTACGTTCGTTGGAATTGGAATTTACACCGCCCGAGGGAGGGAGCGGTGGTGCTGATTAAGGAACGGCCATCCCGGCCGGGGATATTCATTTGGGCTTGTTTATTGAACTTGGAATTAGTTTGATTTGGCCACCGAGACCCTGGCTGGACGAAGGACGAACGTAAAGCGAAACAATCTCGGTTCAAAAGGGAGCCGTTTGCAGGATAATCCAGATGAGGGAAGCAGGCAGGCATCTCCTTGGTGCGTTAAATATAATAAAATAAGCTCATTAAAATTATGAGGGGGGACCATCAATGTTCGCCAGATATATCTGGCAACGTGGTTGCCATGCCAGGACCAGGACCAGGACCAGGCCTCCCCTCCCCTTCCCTACTTTGCCCATCAATCAGAGCCGGATTGTCAACTTTTCAGTAGCATCGCTTCGACTTCCTCGTAAGTTAATTACGGTGGCCCAACTGCCGATTGATTCTCCGGAAAACCAATATTGTGTCGGAGCGTTTTGTGCCGCACGAGCGTGAAATCCGGCAAAGTTTCGGGTGCGATTGACAACAAGCACTTAACACATTTACCTTCACTCCCATACCCATATTACTTGGGAGGCCACAAGTGCGCAACAGCTGAGATCTGAGGACTTCAGGCATTGAATTTGCGGCTGCACCCCGTGACCCCTGACCCCGGTGGTAAAGAAAACACAAGCACAAGTTAGTTACAGAGCGTCCTTGTCCTTTATTTATCGGGTGATGAGATCGAGTCGAGGAGGGGAAACTCAGAGGCAGAGTCAGAGTCATGGTCATAGGCAGAGGGAGAAATGTTATACACACGAAATAAGAAATCGGATTTTATCTCCGTGTACTCTAATTAATTTGCTTTTTCTGCAGCCTCATCTCGGTGACGGGCAAAAGCGTACAACTGTGGATTATACTATGCAACACAAAATCTTTCTTCTTTGTTGAGGGTTATCTTCAGTTGTATAGTCCGCTTTGCTTTGCCTTAGCACGGCCTTGGAAAAATATAAATATACATCGATCTTTACACATTTATATATATATATAAGAATATGGTTGGATATCTCTAGAGCTACGCTTTAAGCCAATTGTTTTGTTATGTTTAAATGGTAGCAGTAAAATCTCATTTAGAATACATTGTTATTTAATGGCGTTACACAATAAATTCGGTGGGAGTTTTATAGCTGGCTCTGATTCGATTTTGGTTTCGTATCTTGGCGATTTGATTAGCAAATCAAATTAAAGCCCCGACCCTGGCGTACGCGGCGTATGCGCGATGCAGATGGCCACAGTGCGGCTGAAAATATTCGAATTTGCCAGCCAGCCAGGCATTGCGCTGCAAATTAAAACTTTCGCCGTAGCAACTTTCTGTTTTGTTTGTTAAATGTTAAAAATAATAAAGTGCACTCGACGGAAAGGAGAGGACGTGAGGCGGAAGGAAGGGTTTTTTAGGGTAGAGCAAACATGAGTGCACGGCCGTCGAGTGCTCGACTTTGCACGAGCCGGTTGGCCACACACTGCTCCTGACTCACTGGAAGGCCTTCAATCCTCCAATCCATTTGGAATCCTCGCATTCCCCCTCTAATGTGTAAGATTGCGTATGAAAATAGTTAGAGTTACGTTAGTTTTTGCTTGCCTTTCGCATTTTGTAAAAGGTATTTTTCAAATATAAGCGTATGAGTTTAGAAGTGTTAGAAGTTTCATCCGAGCACGGCCGTAAATATAAAGTATATATATGTATCTTTGTCTTTAAATATATGGTAAATATAGGTACACGTAAATATAAACATCTATATACTCTCGTAGTAACGTCTGAGTGAAGTACAATACTTTGATTAAATGGTATTTGTTCTTGGCTTAGACTAACAACAGTCAACATTTAACAGTCATTCCGATATGAGATTTTCGTCAATTGGAAGAATTTCTTTGCGAAGCAGGTGGAGCGATTAGTAACCCTAGCCTAGACTTTAAACTTATCCGATATAGGTCACGTGTATATATGATGCTTATGCTTATGGCCTCTATGTGTATACATAAATCAACATCTATAAAGTTTCTCTCGTCTCGCGAGGGGCTGCTCCTTAAGCGTTTCGTAGCGTTCAATTGACAGCACATTATTGGAATTGAAGTTTTTTTTTCGCATTGGAACACATATATGTATATGCAAGTACGCATGTAAATATACACCTAAATATGTATGGTAATATGGCCCCGCTCTCTTTCAGCGGGTTTTATTTCGGGTTGGAATTGCTGGGTCGTTGGATCATTGGATCATTGATTCAGCGCTTATCAGTCCGGCCTTTGCCATCCAACTCGAGTTGGAGGAGGTGTGTCTGACTGCGATAAGCCGGACCAAAAAGTACGCCATAAAAAAGCTGACTATCGCCGAATCTGGAGGCCTGACCACAGCCACATGACTTGGCGAAATAAAAAAAACGAGACCCGGCACTAAACTTTTAATAAACGGAGCACAACAAAGGAGATGAAGACATCCCCTCGCCCGTTTACTGCGGTCCAATCTGAATGGCATTCGGAATATTTCGCCCGCCAACCGCTTTTGATAAAATTCTCTTTTGTATACAGTTTTGTGGCATAATTTCGTCGTGGAATTTCGCCAGGAAGAAGACATCTGGAGTTCGCTGGTGGGACATCTTTGTATCCTTACAGCACGTGCAGATTCTCGCAGCTCTTCGACTTGGAGATGTCGCTGAGGCAGATCTTCTGCAGCAGTTCCTTGGCCAAGTGCAGCGATATGTGGGTGCGAGAAGTCTTCATCTTGGAGGCGGTGGCCTTCTTCTCGCGCTTCTCTTTCAGACGCATCTGTGTCAGAGGAAGATACAAAAATTGTAAGGAAGTTGTTGCTTGTACACTGGTAAAAAACGAAGTAAATTCAAATATATTGTACTCAATTTAAATATTTTATCGCTTTGATTTCCATCCCTTGCGGTTTTTACTTGTTTTAAATAATAAAACACTAACCTTTTAAAAAAAAATGCCTTTAAATGATATAGAAACTTTACTAATTATGGTTTTTAGAAAAGAATTTGTTTTCAATTAAAGCTAAATATATAAAACAAGGACTTGCATATAATCTAGAGATTAAAAATGAATATATATTATCCTAGGTCATATTAAATTTTTACAGTTTAGGTAACTTATTTATGTTGTGTTATTTGAGTCTAGCTGTGTTTCATATTTAATAATTTATTTCAATGTTTAATTAAAATATTTTAGAGGAAACATCACAAATTGGCTCAACTGTCAATTATTAATTTGTTCTGCCTAATCCAATAGAACCGGAAATATCTCCTTCCGAGCGAAATAATAATACCCTTTGCCAATCTGGTGAGCTGACCAAGTTTCCGCTGACCCCGTTTCACCGTCTCACCGACCGCACCATTTTCATTAATTAGTGAGCCGATCCGGAAGCAGGCCCAGCGAAACCCAACCCGAAAACCAGCCAACAGCCACCAGCCCTTCCCTTCCCATCAGCGTGGTAAATCCATTTAACTCCGTTTCCTGCACAATTTCGCCATGCATCGGTGGGTTGCGTGTGGTTCGCACCTTGTCCCAATAGCCGCATCCCCAGCTTGGCACCACTTTGCCTCCAGTTTGCCACCCCGCAACCACCCTTCCACTCACCTGCTTCAATATTCCAACGAGCAGCTCATCGACGTTGTGCTGTATGCCGCTGGACGTCTCAATAAATTTGGCATCGCGTGAGGCGGCCAGGGTTTTGCCCTCTTTGGGGAGCAAAAGTGAATTGGATAGAGGATTGGGGAGTGGGAAGGGAATAATAAATGAAATCAAGCCATCATAATTAAAGGCGCCAAACTTACCCTGCGACGTGATAAGGCGGGCGCGGGCCAGGTCCGCCTTGTTACCCACCAGGATGACGGCCTTGTCCTTGGTGTAGTTCTCCTGCCACAGGTAGTTGATGATTTCCTCCGCGACGCGGAACGAGCTGCGATCGACCACCGAGAAGACAACCACACAGCCATGCGGCTCGTAGGTGGACAGCGAGTTCTCCACGCTCATCTCCACGCTGGGATGGTCGATGAAGACCATGTCCGACTCTTCGTCGTCCAGCAACACGCTCACCGTCTTCTCCCCGAACTCGTCATCTAGAACTCAGATCAGAATTAAACTCTAAAGACGACAGTGGCAGCCAGGAAGCTAGGGGTCATCAAGCACACACATAGGTTCCAGCTAGGGGTCACTCGGCTACTCACTGCGCTCCACGGAAGATCGCCAGGGTGATCTCCACGAGAAACAAGGGCCGACAACTGTGGAACACAACTTACCCAAGCTGGCGTCGTAGGTGTGCATGTACTCGGAGGTCATGAACTGGTTCACCAGTGCCGTCTTGCCCACCCCGGCATCGCCGAGCATCACGACGCGGTAGCGGGCCGGTGGCGGCGGATCCAGGGTCTCGGAGTCGTCCGGCGTCGCCGGCAGAGAGTCCACGTTGGCGTAGCCCGCTCCACAGCAGCTGCCCTCGAACGGGGACCGCTCGCTGGCCCGGCTGTTCGTCGAGTTCACGCTGGTGTTGCTGCGCGACCGTCGCGAGATGATGGAGTCGCCGCAGTTGACCACGTTGCCCTTGCTGATGGAGAAGTGCCGCAGGCGGTACAGGTCGTCGCTGGCCCGCGGATTGTACGGCCGCTCTGGCAGGGAGCAGACGCGCGGTCGCACATGGTCGGGCACTGGGAAGGTCACGAATTGCAGGCATCAGTTGATTGAGTTTAAAAATTTTGAACCCAAATGACAAAAAGGGTCAAAGGGATACATTGCTATTTGAATTTTGTATTTATTTATTAATGTATAAATATTAAATTTAAATCAATACTTTACTGGAAGAGTTTAAAGGATTGATAGCAGTCGATAATACAAAAAAAAAAGAAGCTGATTAAAGTAAAACACAATACACAATTCCACAATCTAACTGTGTTAAACCAATCTATGCTGTGCTAGGAATCTGCTTTGCTGACAGCATTCCATCATTATTTGCCCTTTCAGAAATGATACCCTTAACGACACTTCTCGAACCATAACTTGACCTTTTAAACTCGGATGTGTCAGAGGTAAGCACTTTTTAGCTTATGATTTAATTCTGTACTTTTCTGAGCTTAAATTATATTTCTTAAAGCCATAAGAGTGACTGTTTTGTAAACCTGGTGACCTATACTACCCATCCACATTCGGTTTAGATAAATACATTTTGTTTTGATGCAAATACCGATTTTTAAAAATCAATTTTTTTGAAAAAATTTTGTTTTGACCAATTTTTGCATTTTTGATAAAAAAAAAAAAAATTTAACTGGTAAGGCCACACTCGGTTTAGATAAATAAATTGTGTTTTGATGCAAAAACCGATTTTTATACCCTTGCATAAGTATTATAATTTCAGTCAGAAGTTTGCAGCGCAGTGAAGGAGACGTATAGTATATATATTCTTGATCAGCATCACTCAAATAGTTGATCTGCAAATCATCATAGCTTCATTGCTTTTAAACATACACGCAAATAAATCATAATTTTAATGTCTTCTTTAATATTTAATTTTTGCAATAGCAGCATGGGTATATGAACTTGTTTTTTATTTAATACCCAATTTTGTGTCATTTTTATTCTTTAGAAATTTTAAAAATTTTTAATCCACAGAGAGTTTTAAAATTTAATTTTAAATAAATCATAATAAATCTTGACACTTTAATTTTTAATTTACCTTTGAATTCCAGTAATTTTTAGAATTTGAAATTTAATTTTTAATAAATCTTTTTTGAAATTCATATTTTTAATTTCCCTTTTTATTTTCCGACATTTTTTATGATGTAAGCCCTTAAAGTACTTTATTCCCCTAACATTTTTTAAGTAATTTTTTCCTGGCATTTGTGTTCTAGCAATCATTGTTTGTTGAACTAACCCAACTATTACCAAAATATAAGAAATAGGTAACCTCTCACCTGGCAACTCCAGAAAATTGGATGTTCTGCGCTGGCGACCGCGATTAGAGCTCTGGAAGGCCAGTGGGCCGACGTCGTCGTTGGACACGATGGAGGCGTTGGAGCAGGCGCTCTTCATCGACTCGCGGGAGCTGCGCCGGCTGGCCAGGTAGGCCAGTCCGCCCTTGGAACTGCCGCGGCGGCGCGGCTTGTGCTCCACGTGGGCCTTCGGCTTCGGCGGCTTGCAGCCACTCAGCTCGTGGTCGGCATCCTGGGTCAGGTCACTGGTGGACTTGCGGTAGCGCAGCGAGACCACGCTGTCCGAGCAGGTGCGGTCCAGCGTGGAGTGCGAGCTGTGGAGCACCTGGTAGCCGGGATTCGAGGTGATGTTGATGGCATGGCGACGCTGGCGGTGCGATGGCGCCCGGCCGGCATGCTCCGCATGCTCCATCTCCATGTCCGGCTCCGTGAAGCTGAAGCTGGTGGTGGTGTGGGTGACCATGGTGCTGTTCGTGTGCTGCGTGCCCGTCTCGCCGGACTCCATGGACAGCTGGGTGCAGTCGGTGACGCAGGAGTCGCGCTTCAGGCCGTAGTAGTTGCCTCCCGCCGATCCTGCTCCAGATCCGGCTCCTGCTGCGGATGCGGCTGCACTGAGGTTCCTGGCCTCGATCTTGCTGATCACCGGCAGTTCCCATTCATCCCGCTGCCGCTTATTCTGTACTCCTTGGACATAGCCACCTGCTCCTCCTCCTCCCCCTCCTCCGATTGCCATGGCCACCGCCATACTCTCATCCACCCCCGTGGTGGTTAATTGGGGAACCGCATCCAGCGGGGTCTTTGTCCGCATCAGCTTCTTGGATCCCTGGCGGCGTGGCGAACTGGGTGGGTCGTAGTAAAGGGCTCCGTCGTCGGGTGAGATGGGTTCGTAGTACTCGAACTTCCGACCGTGACTGGGACTCACTGCATCGAAGACGAATTGACAGGGGGACTTGGGGCTGCGGGCCGTGGTGCGGCCACTGAGCAAGGAGGCGGAGTCATCTATTGATCCCGAGGGAGGCGTCTGGTAGTACGAGCTGGGCGTGGAGCTACTCGCATCATCGCAACTATCCTGGGCAAAGGTGGTGGTGATCTTGGGGCTCCTTGGCGTCTCGTATCCGCCATAACTGTAGCCCGGCGACGGAGCACCGTGGTACGGCCTGTTGGGGTTTCACATCTAAATGGATTTGGGGGGCCAATGTTTTTGGGTCTCACCTGGGCAGCTTGGGAGTGGCTCCCTTGCAGGGCAGCGGATTGCTGGAGGCCCGTGCCGGAACTTTGTGGTGCGAGGAGTGGGGATGGCCATAGGATCCTCCTCCGCCGACAGCTCCCTCATCCCAGCTGCGTTGTTGCTGCGCCATTTCCGGTCTTCTGTGCAGAAAATAAATAACATTAAGTGCACTCACAGTTAAGTTTAACTGAAAATCGCTCTACTTGTTGTTAGCAAAGATAATGATTGTTGGTTTTGATTACAATATATCACATCTCAATCAGTATAAAGAAAGTTTTGTTATATAATTTGTTACATTAAAAACCTTTTAAATACTTAAAAATTGTTAGAAACATTTAAGCTTGTATATCTAGAAAATGTTATACATCAAGGAAACAAATTTGTAATAAGACTTTAAACAACATTTTTATTTTGTTGCCAATAAATAAATATCATTTCGTTCAAACAAAAAAGTTTAACTGATTATTTCCTTACTTATTGTTTGCATAGATGATTATTGATTTTGACTGCAGTATGTCATTAAATGTTATTAATTATTAATAATAATGTTTAAATACAATTCCCTAAAAAGCCGAAATACCTTTATCTTAAATAATAAATACTTACTATAAAATGTCTTTAAAACACATCAAGAAACATTATGTCTTCTGTTGTTACTCTATTTATAGTCAAACATATAAACAAAGTCTATAATTTTCTTCCTGTGCATTTAGCAGGATGATGATGAGATGAGGAGATGAGATGGGAGCTACTCGCTGATGGCCAACTCATGTGTAAATATCATGGCCCATTACTCATCCCGCACACGACCTTCCGGAGCATTGCCCGCCGAATGGGCACAAAGTAAACATAATTTATGGCTTTATCTGTATTTAATCAAAATAATGAAAGGCGGGAAATGGGAGCCGGGCATTACAGGGGCCACGCCCACCAGCCAACCACAGGTTGACCGCAAAAGAGGGCGGCAAATGGGCGAATGGGAAGTCATTTTCCGACTTTGGTCAGAGAGCACGAAGAAAAGCGAGGGAAGCGTTCTATTTGGCCTGGCAATTATTGTTAAATGTGCGTTGGCCATCGGTGGAGATGGTGCCCTAAGTGGCTATCCCTATTATCGCTTCACCCACACAACAACACCACAGACTGTCAGCAACTTCTAGCACACACAAACCAAAACCAAACCCAGCACCCTGCTTATGCAAAAAACTTATGCAAAAGTTTCATCCCGTTCCCGCTCCCGATCCCGCTCGAGTTGCAAACAATTCGCTTGCGGGAAACTTCATGTTGGTGTTCGGCGTGGTAACAAAGTTCCCTAATGGGATTTGCCAGCTTCGAGTTTGACTTGAAGCTATTAAAGTTGAGCCCCCAGGACGCTTTGTGCCGCGAACTGTTGCCTACATTTGGGAGTTTGATAATACCGATGGCAAACACTCGCATAGATAGACAGCAAGTGTTGGCCATTTCTGGAGCACCAATTGGGCCGGCAAGTGATTTCCCATGCATGGTAAACGGGGTTAAGTTGCCCCAGCACTTTAGTTTTACGATTCTGCCCTCCCCAGTGGCGATTGTTGCACTTACACGAGCAATTCCTGCATCTCATTGCTTTTACTGTAGCTGTTGCATATGTTGCAGCTAGCCTTTCACTTGGTTTTCCCAATGGACACGTGGCTCGTTCGAATTTCCACTTTCTACTGCCGACTCACGTCCGACCTGTGGGCCATTATTATCTATCGTGTGTACAAATGGCCGTGCCACCCACACACCTCCGCACGGCGTGAGTACGTGCCCATACGGCGAAGCAAATAGTCCGGCATAACGGTGGCAGCATACCTGGTAGTTTACCTGTTGGATGCGAGCCCTTTGTGGTCTTGCCAAACACAGAGGTCCTGTGACCCAATGAGACTGCATTAGGTGGAATTTTAGGTGCATTTTGTGCGAGCAAGCCACTGTTTTGTTAGCTTAATTATTGGCCAACGACTGAACTTCCTAGAACCGACTGAAATGACCAATGTGTTCCTCTCAAATATCACTATATAGGTTTTTAGTTTTCATTTCGTATAAAACACTTTTTACACTAAAACATAATCTAACAGGGATTTATCAGAGATTAAATTTTCATTTAATCCGTTTGTTGATATAAAACTTAAAATGTATTTAGGGTCTCTCTAAAAATTGCATAATTAATAGCCACTTTAAAAATGTTATGCTATCATGATTATATAAAAATAGTGTAGTACATTTAAGAAACCGATTGGCAATCATAGCGAATTTAAATCTGATAGGCCCAAGAAACTTAATAAACTACGTATTGTATAATAAGGCGTAGGCGTTCTATTTTGAAATTTATGCATCACAAGTTTGCTATCAGGTATTTAAGTTATTATTCTATTATGTCAATCTAAAAATTATTTGAGTAAATGTCTTTCAAACCCAACATTTATGAAATCCATTTTCTTGTTTAAAGTTACTCAATCTTGCCAGGGACCCAGTTAAATAATTTCCATTGCATATTCATGAACACAAAATTTATTCGCTCAAAAGTTCCCACTCAAGCACTCAAATCTTTGAGACAATCTTTTCGCAAATCCCACTTACAAGGCATCAATTATTCGAGTGATTGATTCAAGTGTTTGGCAACTTGTTGTTTCCCTACATCCACTACCTTTTCGTTTCTCCCCGTACCCATTTCTTTTTGTATTCGTTCGTATTTTGCATTTCACGTAATATAATGGCGTGTTGCCACCGCAACGAATCGAACCGACCATTGGGAATGGGAAGGGGAATGGACATGGTTCGAGAATGATAACAAAATGCCGATGTGGAAGTGGCCCAGAGTCCAGGCCTCACCTGGCTCACCTGGCTCTCGCCCTCTCGCTCTGGCCAACTGCTTTTGGGCTTGCGAAAATCTGCAGACAACAAATCAATAGGGAAATATCTGTCGTTTCTCTTTGGACACATTCAAATCCTCACTAGTTCGGTGCGCATCGGCTTTTTTCATGCGGAATTGTGTATGCATAAAGGCCAACGAGTTGGGGGCCTTGGGAGATTTCGGCCAGCTTATTGTATTGGATGAGGGTCCTCAGGGCCCTGAGACTTCCGTTTGAAAAGGTGCAGCTTGTGTAAGATAATAATTGCTACAGATTTCGGAATTATAAAAAAAATGTGAGTCCTTGGTGTGGATTGAATTATTGATGGATTCCATTGGCTGGGAGTTAAACTTGAAGTTACCTGCGCCATAAGTTATGCATGGCCCGAAACGATGTGTGGATAATTTGACTGGGGTTAAGCTACATTTGCATATACAAATGCCAGTGCGTGGGCTGGGCTTCAATCCGGTTTATGGCTTCGGGCCCGCCTACACTGGCACCTTTTCCGCACCTCGCTTTTCATTTTCCATCTGCCATTTCCCATTCCCCATTTCCTATTTTGCATTTTCCGTCTGAGGCTCTTCCTTTTGGCCTTTACGGCCCCGGCCATCATCATCATTCGAAGTGGCAAGAGTAATGACTCTTCCTGCACGGACCGTCATTAAGTTGCAGGCCTCCTCGCGTCGTCATAAAGAAGTTCTCGGACAACCCTTTGGTAAACTTTGCTTGTAATTAAGCCCGCACCCGTTAAACGCATACTTAACACCCCTCCCCCACCCATTGTCGCTACAGTTCCTAGTGTCCCTGCCTACCTACCGAGAACTACCCAACTTGGCAAGCCATTGGGGCACTTTCACCCCCTTGTCTCTGCTGTAAAAATAAACTGAGTGTGTACGGCACAAACAAGGAAAGTCCATAAAACACTTAAGACCGAGGAATATATGCTGGGTGGGGAATTGACTGACGAGAGAGAGAGAGACTGGTGCTGGTCAGTTCGCAAATTACAAATCCTGGCCAAAGTCACGTCGCAAGTTGGTCATTAGCCGCCACTTGAATCCCGAAGCTCCGCCTTCGCCTTCGTCTCCTCCTTCGCATCGATTTTATTGCAACACATAATTCTTGACGGCCGGGCGGGCCATTTGTGCAAATCTCATGTTGATGGCATATTAAGTGACCTCCGGGCTGCTTTTCAACCCCCACACTCCACAACTACTCATTCAATACCCTCGAGCGCCTACCAATTTGCACTTTAAATGGCCGGCGGGTGGGCAAAGTGATGTCGTTGGATAGACAGAAATGGCGCAAACTTACGTGTAATTAGACGCGTCTGGGCGCGAGGATTAGCAATTAAGCGAGTGTCCTGAGAGCGCAACAAGTGCCGCCGTGAAATAGGAACGAAATGGTGTTAAAAGAGACACAGGACACGGGTAATCCCAGTTGGTGTGTGTGGGGGTGGCTGTGGGTGGCAATTGCCGTTTGGGGGGCAAAGTGAGAGCAGCGCATAAATCAACATGTCAAATCGCAGCTTACAAAGCGCCACACACAGCGCCACGCACACACACACACACAGTCACGCACACACACTTTAAAACACAGAGATACTGAGACAGACTGAAACTCACTTTTACTTCGCGTGCCGCATTACTGTTTAATGTTTACCATTTTCATTAAATTTGTCGGATAATTCGGTCTGTTATAGCAACTTTGCTAATTGTCCAACACCAACAATGCCAACAATGCCACCAAGACAAGCACACGGACACAACGATGTGGCTATACGACGATACGGCGATACCAACACTAACACCAACACAACGGCAAAGCAACAGTTTGCACGGCCAGCCGCTCGGGCTTTTCTGCACTTCCGTTTCCGCTGGCGACTGCCGCACTCACTGACTTCCGCCCGGACGAAGCTGCGGCGGCGGCGGCTCGAGCTGAACTGAGCTGAACTCGACGACTTGCCTGCCACTTTGCTGGCTCCCAAATCCCGATTCCCGACCATCCGACGTATCCGACGCATCCGAAGTATCCGAAGTATCCGGAGAGTGCTGGAAAAGCTCCGCTGGCCAAGCTTTTCAAGGCCTTCCAATGGGACTGGAAAACGGAGCCGGTAAAAGCTGCGGATTGCAATGGCTAAGACTGCCGTTGCAGGAGATGATTGGTTTTCATCTAACGGTTTTATGTTATATAATCCATTTCCAATGAATAATTAAAAAAGAAATACTTGAAATTGCAAGGAGCAGATTTAATAAAAAATCCCACTATTGTAGCTATTTATATTATTAAATCAAGGGTACTATACATTTCCAATTTACTCTAAAGTTATTTAATGTTTTATCAAAACAAATTCGTTTATAACATTTTAAAAAAGTTGGTAAAGTGCTAAGAAACTTAAAAACTTGAAATTCGCTAAATAAGGTAATTTAATTAATATTGGCTTATTAAGTAATTTGTAAATTAAATTGTTTGCTTTGCAAATGAAGCCAAGTTTTATGGAAATGCGACAGAAAAGCTTTATTTTTAGAGAAGTTTCTAGTTTTATAAATTTAGTTTGAAATAATTAAACAAAGATAAGTTATTCCAGTTAATCGAAACTATTAAAGTCGATAGATGTAGTTTTCAAAGCTATCGTTATATTCTACAGAATATAAAAAAATATTTGTAGTGAGAAACAATTAACAAATACTAAAATTTGTTTTGTTTCAAGGAATTTAAGCTTTCTATTAAAAATCGTTGCCCAACGAATGCATTTGGCACATATAAGAGTATAATTTATAAGTCATGACTTTAAAAATCTTTTAAGCTTAACTAACTGCTTTCCTTTATTTCTATTATTTTATTCGAGTTTGTTTTTCTTTGTGATTTTATGCAAAGCCTATGAAAAACAACTTAACATTGTTGGGTTCCTCGTGCTAAATAAATACTCGCATAATTTGTAGGTTATAAAATCATCTGTTTTATTTTTTTCACGTTTTTTGTATGTTGGCTTACTGGCTAAACTTAAAGCTGCTTATGCAATAAATAGTTTGGAAGTCTTCGGCTTAAACACTAGGGAAACGACTAAATATGGTGTTGGGGTACAGGATAACATAGTAGGGGTGAGTATGGGGGGGCGGTACGGGATAGTACAGATGGCGAGCAGGTATTTGGGGCGGGTAAAGATGTTTATGTTAGGATGCACTTCATCAACCCTTCTTAGAGGTTGGCGACGCGGGCAGACAGCTCATCCAGCTGCTGATAAATGCTGGCTGGCAGATCGGCGCCCACTTGCGACTCGAAGTAGGTGCGGATGTCCTTGACCTCCTGCGACCAGAACTCCTTGGGCAGCGAGAAGATCTCAGCCTCGTCCACCTGCTCCTTCATGCCAGCCAGGTTGAGGGCTCCCTCGGCGGGAATGTGTCCAATGGCCGAGTCCACGGAGCAGGCCTCGCCATTGATCCTGCGCAGGATCCAGTCCAGGACGCGCGAGTTCTCGCCGTATCCGGGCCACATGAACTTGCCCTCGGCGCTCTTGCGGAACCAGTTGACGTGGAAGATCTTGGGCACCTGGCCGCGCTGCTCCATGCTCAGCCAGTGGGCCACGTAGTCGCCGAAGTTGTAGCCGAAGAAGGGCCGCATGGCGAAGGGATCGTGCATGATCACCTTGCCCACATGCTCGGCGGCGGCGGTAGCCTCGCTCCGCATGGCGGCGCCAATGAAGACGCCGTGCGTCCAGTCGCGTGCCTCGTAGATCAGCGGCACTCCAGCGGGACGACGTCCTCCGAAGAGCATGGCCGAGATGGGCACTCCCGCCGGATCCTCCCAGGCGCCGTCGATGATCGGGCACTGGGCGGCCGGGGTGCAGAAGCGGGAGTTGGGATGGGCGGCCGGCTTGCCGGACTCCTTGGTCCAGGGCTTGCCCAGCCAGTCGGTGATCTGGACATTGGGGGCCAGACTGCTCTCCATGCCCTCCCAGAAGACGCCGCCGTCGGAGGTGGAGGCCACGTTCGTGAAGATGGTGTTCTGGAAGACGGTCTTCATGGCAATGGGATTGGTCTCCATCGAGGTGCCCGGGGCCACGCCAAAGAACCCGTTCTCCGGGTTGATGGCCCGCAGCACGCCCTGCGAGTCGAACTTCATCCAGGCGATGTCGTCGCCCACACACTCCACCTTGTAGTTGGCCAGCGAGGGGTTAAGCATGGCCAGATTGGTCTTGCCACAGGCCGAAGGAAAGGCGGCGGTGATGTACTTCTTCTCGCCCTTGGGATCGGTGATGCCCAGGATCAGCATGTGCTCGGCCAGCCAGCCCTCCCTCTTGGCAATGGTGCTGCCGATCCTCAGGGCAAAGCACTTCTTGCCCAGCAGGGAGTTACCACCATACCCCGAACCATAGGACACAATCAAATTCTCGGCGGGCTTGTGCAGAATGATGGTGCGTTCGGGATCGCACGGCCAGGAGGGCTGCTCCACCTGTCCGTTGGCCGGGGCACCCACCGAATGGAGGGCGCGGACGAACTCCTCCTTCTTGGCCAGCTGGCGCAGGACGGCGGCTCCCATGCGGGTCATGATGCGCATGGACGCCACCACGTAGGCGGAGTCTGTAATCTCGATGCCGATCTTGGAGAGCGGCGAGCCGACGGGGCCCATGCTGAAGGGCACCACGTACATGGTGCGCCCCTTCATGCAGCCGGGGAAGCGCTGCTGCACTGCAGCCTCCATGTCGCTGGGCGAGATCCAGTTACCCAGGGCGCCCTTGACGCCCTCGGCGGCGGTTGGGATCGTCTCCTCCCGCCGCTCCGTGCAGATGAAGGTGCGCGACTCCACGCGGGCCACGTCCGCCGGATTGGTGCGGGCCAGCCAGCAGTTGTCGTACTTGGGCAGCGGCACAATGGTGCCCGCCTCCAGCAGGACCTTGATCAGCAGCTTGTTCTCCTGCTCGCTGCCGTCGCAGATGTGCACCTGGTCGGGCTGGCACAGGGCGATGCCCTCCTCCACGAAGTTGCGCACTCCGGCGGTCAGCGCGTCCACATTGCCGTACGAGATGGGGATGCCGCGGATGTGGCTGTACAGGCCGCAGTTGTCCTGGCGCCGCTTGTGCAACTGGGGCAGACCGCATACATTGCCGGAGCTGCAGGGGAAATGGAAAGTGGACATTAAGTTAAAGGACTTTTTAAGTGGGAACCCCAAATATCCAATATATCCCCATTTAATGCATTTAAAGTGATCTCAAATACTTACATAATTTTGCTTTGTTCAATGAGCTCAGGCATTTTGATTGCTTTGTATTTTATCGATTTCTCTCAAAAGAAAACTTTGGAATATTATGTTAGATTTTGTTCTACGCTTTTTTGTAGGCGCTAAAGAGTTTTTTTTTTTTTTGGCACTTTGCTTAATTCGCTTATCACAATGGGTAATTATCACAATTATTGTTCAACTGGGGCGGACTTCACGTTCATATGTTCTTCCACAGTTTCTTGTCAAACATCAACTCGGTTTTCAGACCACTGAAAGCAGGCTTTGGCTTTGGCTTCTCACTTGATCTTTCCATCTACTCTGGCCACGAGTAACTGATGCCCACTGTTCCGATCCGGGGCCTTTTATACGCTGCCGGCGATGCCTCGTCGTCGAGGCGACTAGAACAAGTCGGCCGATCGCCTCGGAATCGGGTTTACGATCACCATCACCATCGCATCGGGTCAAAATCCGGACGAGCTGATTGGTCGTTCGCCGGAGGCTCGGCGATTGTTTTGGTTTTTCACAGTGTCGATGAGGTGGGGTGGGGGGTGCTCCTAAATCCGGGGTATGCTTACACTACACTACATAATATAATATATGTGTGTGTGTGTATATACGGGGCATGGCAACAGCAGACTGCTATTTTCGAGTGGCTCTTTCTAGTGCGTTTGCATTGATAAGCGATTGTTGTTATTTTGACACCCCAACCCACTGATATTTGCCACTTTCGCGCTGTTAATTTAATTATTTTGTTTATGATTTTATGCGATACGAATACGTATACGAGCGGAACGAAAATAGAAACCAGTTCATGGACAGCTGAGGCAACAGCAGTTGTCTTTCCCAGCAGCTGGGTAAATTCTGGATGTGTCTATAGCTGCAATTGGAGAGTGCAGCATTGGTTTTAGTGGGATTGGGCCTCCACCTCCACCCTCATCTCCACACGCGTCCTCCTACGCCTGCTGACCACATGTCTTTTATAGTACGTACCATTTTGGCCCATCGCCAAATCGAAAAAACTTTCGCTTATTTGCAGAATCGGTGACGGAAAATTTGTATGCCAATCCGGCCCCCTCTTACCATCCAGATGCGTCCCGGTCCGGGCCTCCACAATTGGCCATGGCCGTCTTGGAGGCCAGCATTCATGTGACTCTGGTGGCGCACCAAGAATAGACCAATTGGTTGTCATGTGGCCTCTCTTGTGTTTTTGTCACTGGGGAAGGAGAAATGAAGGTGCTGCTGGTGGGGTGACTTTGCCACCCCACCCCCTCATTCCAGTTACCAAGAAGCCCCAGAATCCTCTGGCCACTCACAGCAAAAGTTCACCATTCGCGGTAAGGTAAACCAGTTTTTAACATTTTTAATTACAAAATTTTCCTACATTTTTATTAGAACTGAATTTAGACTCTTAAATAAACATTTTATCAATGGTTTGTATTCAGAAGAGGTTTCGGCATATTTTTAACATTTCATATGTGTTTTTTTATTTATATTTTGGTTTATAAACATTCAAAACAATTTTTTGGTAAAATAATAATAAATAGAATACATATTTAGAGCACTTTTTTTTATATATACAAATTTAATTTCATATTTATATTAAAAAGCAGTTGTTCAAAGTTAAAATCCTTTACCCATTTAAATTCATTTTTGGCATATTATTAGCAATTCATATGTGCTTTTATTTATATTTTGGTTTGTTAACCGTGGAATCATTTGATGGTGGCAGAATACAATATATTTAGATAAACTTTTATCAGATCAATCTATATCCTATGTAGGTGTATATAAATGGTGTACAATTTATAGTCATTCAAAAATTGCTGTTTGTTATAGGTAGGATAACTTTTAAGTTCTTTAAGCAAAGTACTGACAAGAAATTCAGACACATATATTTTCTCCTTTTGCAATTACCGCTTTTGGTGACCGTTGGCAATCAGGTTATTTTTTACCGCTCACTTAGCCTAGACCCAGAAGGGACTGGCGTCTCCAACGGCCTTGTGGAAACCTGGTCAGCCCGTAGTCCTTGGTCCTTGGCTGCCCCTACTCCTGTCCCCTTCCCGCCCTTTACGACAAGTCCAGTTTCGATTTTAAGCGAATTCATCTACACGCGTCGCCTCGTTTTTCGGTTGGTTTATTTATAAACTATGGACTTGTTTTTCTAGTTGGGCCTGATAATCTTCATCATCGACGCTAATTGCTGGACCCAGACTTGGACTCTAACTGCTTGGCTCCTGTTCTCACCTCTTGCTAAGTTGGTTGGCGCATTTCGATGAGTCGGGCTTATACGGAATTTACGTCAATAGACAATCGATCCGCTGAATATATGCATAATCAATATGCGATCTGTTTGGGCATCGATGTGGAGCAGTCGGGTGGGTTATCAGCGGACGAGCCTCTGAGCTCGACTAAATATAGATCACACCCGGATCTCTACTGGTGACGAGGAAAATTTTCCTAGGGAAATCATCATCCACAATTATGGATTTCAGAAGGGGCCTTTGTTTTTAGTGGCTTAATTTCTTAGCCTTTTGTTTGTTGGCCTTTTGAATTCTTGGCTCTTTGGTTTCTTATCACTTTGCACCCCAGAGTGTACATCACACCACACACGCTTCCAGTTTTGCAATCAGGCCTTGGCAACCCACCCCGCCCAAAAACCAAACCAAAAAAAAAAAAAAAAACACAATTCTTTTATAAAGTTTTTTGGCTTCTTGTGGGATTTTATTTGCTTGTTTTTCATCGCCCCGATCTGTTGATAAGTTAGGTTAAACGGCATTATGGATTTATACGCTTGTTTACGCCAATTGCGGACGGGCCTCCGCCCCGGCGACCACTGATAAGCTGCGTCCAGGCCACGCCCCAATCCCGATTCGCATTCCGATTCCCATTCCCATTCCCATTCCCAGCCCCAAATAAAAAACCAGCCAAATTTCGCTATAAAAATCTCATTCGTTTCGTTTTATTTTAGGCAATAGTCTATAGGCTATGGGCAATTAGGTCTTAGATTAGGGAGCAACCTATGGAACACACACATCACATGTCCGCCACACGCGCCTTCAACTCCCTGAGCTGCTCGGCCACGGGCTGCGGCAGGTGGTGGCCCACCTGCTCCTCGAAGTACTTCTCGATGGCGCACACCTCCTGCTCCCAGAAGTCCTTGGGCAGGTCGAACAGCTGGTCGAGATCGATGTCCTCTTTGAGGCACTGCAGGTTCAGTGAATCCTTGGCAGGCAGCCGGCCGATGGGGGAGTCCTCGAAGCACTGCTCTCCCTCCACCCGCCGGAAGATCCAGTCCAGGACGCGGGAGTTCTCGCCGAATCCGGGCCACAAGAACTTGCCCTCGGCGCTCTTGCGGAACCAGTTGACGTTGAAGATCTTGGGCACCTCTCCACGCTGCTCCATGCTCAGCCAGTGGCCCAGATAGTCGCCGAAGTTGTAGCCAAAGAAGGGTCGCATGGCGAAGGGATCGTGCATGATCACCTTGCCCTTGAACTCGGCGGCTGCGGTTGCCTCGCTCCGCATGGAGGCGCCCATGAAGACGCCGTGCCTCCAGTCCCGCGCCTCGTACACCAGCGGCACTCCGGCGGGACGACGACCGCCGAAGAGAATGGCCGAGATGGGCACTCCCTCGCTGTCCTCCCAGGCGGGATCGATGATGGGGCACTGGGCGGCTGGGGAGCAGAATCGCGAGTTGGGATGGGCAGCCGGCTTTCCCGACTCCTGGGACCACAGTTTGCCCAGCCAATCCGTGACCGTGACCCCCTTCAGCTGGTCCTTATCCATGCCCTCCCAGTAAACACCGCCGTCGGATGTGGAGGCCACGTTCGTGAAGACCGTGTTCCGGAATATCGTGTCCATGGCTATGGGATTGGTGGCCCTCGAAGTGCCCGGGGCCACGCCGAAGAACCCGTTCTCGGGGTTGATCGCTCGCAGCACTCCCTTCTTGTCGAACTTCATCCAGGCGATGTCGTCGCCCACACACTCCACCTTGTAGCCCGGCAGAGTGGGGGTCATCATGGCCAGGTTGGTCTTGCCACAGGCCGAGGGAAAGGCGGCAGCTATGTAGATCTTCTTGCCCTGCGGATTCGTGATGCCCAGGATCAGCATGTGCTCGGCCAGCCAGCCCTCCCTCTTGGCAATGGTGCTGCCGATCCTCAGGGCAAAACACTTCTTGCCCAGCAGGGAGTTACCACCATACCCCGAACCATAGGACACAATCTCGTTCTCCGCTGGCTTGTGCAGGACAATGGTGCGTTCGGGATCGCAGGGCCAGGATGGCATCACCTGGACACCACTTTTGGGAGTGCCCACCGAGTGCAGACACTTGACAAACTGGCCATCTCCACACTGCAGGTACTCAAGCACCGGATTGCCCGCCCGCGTCATGATCTTCATGGACTCCACGACGTAGGGAGAGTCGGTGATCTCGATGCCGATTTTGGAGAGGGGTGAGCCCACTGGACCCATGCTGAACGGAATGACGTACATGGTGCGCCCCTTCATGCAACCCGGAAACCTCTCCTTGATCGCCGCCTGCAGATCCTCCTCCGACATCCAGTTGCCCAGCATTCCCGGAGTGGCCTTCTCCGTCACCGGAACCGTCTGCTCCTTGCAATCCGTGGAGATGAACGTCTTGCCCTCCACCCGGGCCACATCCGTCGGATTGGTTCGTGCCAGCCAGCAGTTGTCGTACTTGGGCAGTGGAACGATGGTTCCCTGTTTCACCATCAGGCCCTGGAGCAACTTGCTCTCGCCCTCGGTGCCATCGCAGATGTGCACCCTCTCCGGCTGGCAGAGATCCACGCACTTCTCCACATACTGTTTCACGGCGGGGGTGAGCACCTTGGCATCGCCATACTGGACGGACAGGAAGCGACAGGTCAGGCGGAAGTTGTAGCTCCTGGGTGGGGAGACCAAACTGTAATACCATGGAGAAGGAAATACATTAGACATGAAACCAAGGCTAAACTAATCATATATTATCTTATCTTAATAAAGCTAAGTTAAAGATAGTAATACCTTTGTCTAAGTAGTACCTACTTAAGTACTCTAGTAATAACAACACTGGATTGTCCAGCAAAGCTATATATCTAATCATATCTGGGCAAAATAAATCAAAATAGATCTATGAAAGTAATTTAAGGGGTTTATTTAAATGTTTTTAGGTTAGTAACAATATTACCAGCAAAGGTAAGACTTCGATGTTTGAGAAATGAAAAGAGAAGAAAATCCTAATCGCATATATACTCCAATCTTTCAATGTAATTTGTGAATTATTATCTTCAGATAAAATGTGTAATATGTACTTTTTCTTACATGTAATTTGATCAATATTACCATAG